ATAATCTCGAAAAGAATTTAAATCAAATGAAGTGTAAGTTTGCATGTACTTACATAGTAGTACATATTGAAAAATAGTTTCAATTTCTTTGGATGCTTTTGGGACAGAGTTTAAACACCCACAGTGAAAATGTTAATATATTAGATATTGAGCAAAACTTTCATAATACAGTAAGCCCTCAATGTCAATAGATTCTTGGAAACTGCAACTTTAAGCAAAACAGTGTACATCAGGTCCTTGAATAACATCACTTTGTTATAACATTGATGAGGAAAAAAATGGTTTCATTATATGTTGTTTTGCTTAAAGTTGTAGTTTCTAAGAACCTATTTAGATTAAGTGAAGCCTTACTATACATTTTGGTTTAGTAAATGATTCTTGATTTGTACTTACTGGTAAAGTTATTTCCCTTTAAATGAGTCATCACCTGCAACCCTCCCACCCCGCTTTTTTTAGAGACAGGATCTCTCTGTGTCGCCCAGGCAGGAGTGCAGTGGTACAATCATAGCTTACCGTAACCTCAAACTCCTGGACTCAAGCAGTCCTCCCACCTCAGCCTCCTGAGTAGCTGGGTCTACTGCTGTGCCACCACACCTGGCTAATTTTAAAAATTTTTGTAGAGATGGGGAAAAAAAAACTATGTTGCCTAGGCTGGTTTCAAATTCCTAATCTCAAGCCATGCCTCCCCTCTGTCCTTGCACACTCAGCCTCCCAAAAGTGTTGGGATTATAGGCATGAGCCACTGTGCCCAACCCATCTGTTTCCTTTTAGCTGTCATTGTTGAATAGTGATTAGAAAAATATATACTAATATATTCTGTAATATTTACAGTGCTACCTGTCTCATCACAGGTATACTGTAGCTTATCTGGTTGCCTATTGTGCTTTACCAAATTTTATAATCTGATAAAAACCAATTTGCTTGTATAGTTGGAAGCTAGTGAGTGCTCATTCAATTTCTGATTTTACCTTTTATACTAGCTCACAGATTTAGGGAGAAAATGAATCGAATAGCAGTCAAGAGTGCATAGGCTTAGAAATAGGTTTGGGCTTAAATTCTTGGCTAGCTGTTTAGGTTTTCTAGCTGTAAAATGAAGATAAGGTGATACTACCTTCCAGTGTTGTGCTAAACATTTATGATTATGTGTGTAAAGTACTTGGTACAGTAAAGGCCTAGCAAATAGTTGGTACCCAATATATTATTATGATGTTTATGATAGAATTAGCTATCTAGTTTTATGTTCTAGGCCTTTAAAGCCTTTCATGCTTGCTTTTTGTGCATTCAGGTTCCTAGTTCCTGTTATATCTTGCAAGATTTGTATATGTGTGTTGGGGTGTGTGTGTGTGTATACATATATATGTATATGCATAATATATATATTTTTTTAATCTTTTTAGGGAGTTCCAATGAATTCACTCAGGTTTCTCTTTGAAGGTCAAAGAATTGCTGATAATCATACTCCAAAAGAAGTAAGTATAATTTTTTCCTGAGCCAAGAAAAATTTTAAATTCTCCTTTGAACTATTTGGTTCACTGGTATTAAATTCTCTTTTTCTTGAATATTCTCTGATTTAAGTGTTATATCATTTGTCAGAAAAAATAATGTTTTGGGTTGAACTTCCCATATATTACCTTTAAAAGTACCAATAAAAAGGGAGGTAGAAACTAGGAATTGAGTACTGAAATTGTCATAAGGCACATGCTACATCTTTTTTGAAGATGGACAAATGTCCCTAAATTTGGCAGATTTCTGGTACACTTTCATGGTGATAGGGACCTTATTGGTTCGATTTTGATTTATGACCCATTTTGAGAATGTTAATACAGAAGCTTAGTGTATATTAATGTAATAATATTTGGCTCTATCATCTTGTTTTATGCTTTTTAAAAAAATGCTTCTGTGTCTTCATTTAATTGTTTTTATTGTATGGACTATTTTCTTTGCTTATATATCCCTCCACCCTGGTATCTCAAAGTAAAGTGTGCGTGTGTGTGTGTGTGTGTATGTATCTGTATACATAGATTCTCCCCTCCATATACAAAATGACATTTCTGATAGAACAATGCATGGTTATTTTTTATTTTAAAAACATTTTAAACTTACTGAGTTGTGAGAATAGTACAGTATTCTCCTGTATGCCTATTCCCTAGATTCACCAATGAAGATTGTGCAGCAGTTGTTTCATCGCTATGTATGCATATTATCATTATTGCTGAACCATTTGAGATTAAGTTGCAGATAATCATGACCTTTTACCCCTGAATATTTTAGTGTTTTATCTTTTAAGAGCCACAGTTCAATGATTAGATTTAGGAGATTTAACATTGATGCAGTATTATTATTGAATATGCAATTAAAATAGATTTTGCTATTTGTCCCAATAAGATACTTTATAGCCATTTTTTTTACCTGACCCATCCAGGATATGCATTCTAACTAGTTGTCATGCCTCTTTAGCCTGCTTCAATCTATAACAGTTCCTCATTTTTTTTTTTTTTTATCACACTGACAGTTTTTAAAAAGTACAGGCCAGTTTTTTTTAGAAAGTCCTTCAATTTGGGTTTGTCTGCTTCTTCTTGATTAGATTAAGTTTTGCCTTTTTGGTGGGAGTAGCACGGATTGAAGCTGTATATTTCTGAGTGTATCACATCTGGAGGTACATGATGTCTCTCTGTCCCATTATAGTTAATGTTAACTTTGGTCACTTAGTTAAGGTGGTAACTGCTAGATTTATCCACTACAAGGTTATAATGTTCCCTTGTAATTAATAAGTTATCTTTGGGGGGTGCTTTGTAACTGTATGAATATCCTTTCTTTCTTTAGATATTGGCCAAGTGGGGGGCCACTTCAAATTGGCATCTGTGTTGTTTTTGACAATTCTCCATATTTTTAAAAGTTTTTATTTTGAAATAATTTTTATCTTACAGAAAGTCTGTAAGAATAGTACAGAAAATTCCCATATACTTTCCTCCAGCTAGATTCACTTATTTTTTAATATTTTGCTACCTTTGCTTAATTATTCTCTATGTATATGTATGGATGTATGGATGTATATATTTTTTTCCCTCTCCCCGTCCCCAAACCATTTGGGAATGGGTTGTGTACACCATGACCATTTACTGCTTAATATTTTATGCGTATTTCTTAAGACAGTATTTTTTTTATATAACTGTAGTACTTTTAATCAATTTCAGGAAATTTAATACTGTTAGAATACTTTTAATCTACAACCTAATTTTGTCATTTGTCCCAATTATGTCATTAATAACAAATTTTCTCCATCACAGGATCTAGTTCAGTTATCACATGTTGTGCTGTCTCTTTATTTACTTTTAATTTGGAACAGTTCCTCCTTTCTTTGTCTTTCATGACATTGACATTTTTAAAGAATACAAACCAATTATTTTCTAGAAAGTCCCTCATTTTGGGCTTGTCTATTTCCTCATTACTAAATTCAGGTTATGTATTTTTGGCTGGAATACTACATAAATGGATGTGTCTTTCTTAGGTTGTACTATCTGGAGCACCTGAAGTTCCTTATGGATGTGTTAATTTTGATCACTTACTTTATATGTTGTCTTTTTTCCTACTGTGTAGTTACTGTTTTTCCTGATATAATTAAGTAATTTGTGGGACATACTTGGAAACTATGTAAATAACCTCTTTCTCATCAAAAGTTTCCCCTAGATTTAGCATGCCCTTGCTTTCTTGAGCTCTTACTTTCTGGCATAATAAAATGTTCCAAACTCATCTTGTACTTTCCTTGTCCTAACTTAGCATAATTTCTGGCACCCAGTAGATACTTAATATGTTTTACTGACATTTTTCCTCACTATAATTAAGGAGATTATCTTTTCAGAGAAATGTTGGGGCAGTTGGAGAGAGTAGGCATTTAGAGAGTGACCTCCTTGTGCTATTTGTTCACTTTTCTCTACTAATGTACTTGTTGGAGGTTGTAGTTTCATATTCTCTATAGCTTGAAGACACATGCTATCTTCCTGATTTGAAGGTTCCTTATAACATTTGGAATTTTATTTCTTGCAGTATTTATCAAGCCATATGTGCAATTAAGTTTTAAAAGCATCTTTAATAGTATTTTAATATTTATATATGTGCCACAATCAAAACAGCTTAACATTAGAGCCGATCTGATCACTTCAAAATCCTCAATCCACATAAGTCTGTTATTTTTAGATTTTTTTAGCATATCTTAATTTTCATATGTATAATTCTGCCCAAAAATGTCATCTATAAAATACAAAACTTTTCTCATTGGAAGAGATTACTGATCTTAGACTTCCCTTTAAAATTTTATTTTCCATTTGTTTTTGTGATCCATTGTAGTTTTCAGTGGAAACAATGCTAGTTTTTGTTTTTAGTCTGCCTATTACAATGCTTCTCTACTCTGGCTGCATACCTGAATCAACAGATTCAGTCTTGTTCTCACTGAGGGTAACACCTGATTTCTGTGTGATAGTATGTCCCCTTATATACTGTCTTTTCTTTTCTGATAGTTAAAAGTAATAAAAATTCAAACTACCAAAGCATATAAAATGGAAAATAAATGTATGCTGAGTAGCTCTGTATTTTCATTTCTCAGCGGCAATCATCATTAATAGACTAGTGAAAAAAATTCCAGAATACTTCAGTGCATATAAAGCACATCAAAAAATAAAAAGATAATTGCTCATACTTAATGTTCTGTAAAAGACATTTTAAAGGACCTTTGTAAGAATTAAAGAAGGGATGGACTGAAAAGTCTAGCTTATAAAACTGGAGCTATTGAATAAGAGTAGATGTATAGATAAATTTTCTGCATTGAAAGTGGTCACTATCAAAGAAAATGATAGTTATATGCTAGAAGGAATTGAAGAAGATGAATGAACCCTTAGGCAATATTTTTCTGACTAAAACCACATATATTTTAAAGTGAAAACAAGTTTTTTGAAAGAAATGAGATTCTATCAAGTAATTACATCTAAAAGTAAAATGCTTTTTAGAAAATATGTCATCAAACTATTATTTAAACTATTAAATACATGTTTTATTTTAACATACTTGTTAAAAACACTTCAGTTTTATGTAGTGAATAAACTGGGAACTGAAATTGACTCAGGAAAACAAGATGAATAACTGGATAGACACAGAATCGGGAAAAAAGACATACCTTTATGTTCTTTAAGTTGAAGGAGATAGGATTCTTAATCTTAAAGGAGTGTAAGTATGGATCTTGTATCTTTTTGCACTTTAAATTGGTGGCCACAACTGCAGCCAATTTTAAAATAGTGCTTTTATATTCTACTACTAACATATTTTTCTTTTCTGTTACAGCTGGGAATGGAGGAAGAAGATGTGATTGAAGTTTATCAGGAACAAACGGGGGGTCATTCAACAGTTTAGATATTCTTTTAATTTTTTTCTTTTCCCTCAATCCTTTTTTATTTTTAAAAATAGTTCTTTTGTAATGTGGTGTTCAAAACAGAATTGAAAACTGGCACCCCATCTCTTTAAAACATCTGGTAATTTGAATTCTAGTGCTCATTATTCATTATCGTTTGTTTTCATTGTGCTGATTTTTGGTGATCAAGCCTCAGTCCTCTTCATATTGCCCACTCCTTTTTAAAAATTACATGTGTGCACAGAGAGGCCACTGTTTTCAGGACTGTGCATTTTCAGGCTTGTGATAAATAAGATCGACCAATGCAGGTGTTCATAATGACTTTCCAATTGGCCCTGAAGTTCTAGCATGTGATTACTTCACTCCTGGACTGTGACTTTCAGTGGGAGATGGAAGTTTTTCAGAGAACTGAACTGTGGAAAAATGACCTTTCCTTAACATGAAGCTACTTTTCAAATTTGAGGGTCTGGACCAAAAGAAGAGGAATATCCAAGGTGGAGTCAAGATGACAGACAAGGTGAGAGTAATGACTAACTCCAAAGATGGCTTCACTGAAGAGAAGGCATTTTAAGATTTTTAAAAAATCTTGTCAGAAGATCCCAGAAAAGTTCTAATTTTCATTAGCAATCAATAAAGTTATTCATGCAGAAGTGTATACAATAGAACACTGCTCTTTTTGATTTTATTTGTACTTTTTGGCCTGGGATATGGGTTTTAAATGGACATTGTCTGTACCAGCTTCATTAAAATAAACAATATTTGTAAAAATCATACTAATGCTCATTTTATTTTAATTGTATAGGAAGTAAAAAGAAAATGCCTAAAATAAGGTTTTCTTGCAGAATACTGGAAATTGTTTACACATGGTACAATTTTTTTCTTCATTACTGTACAGTGATGACGTTAATGACTTTGAAGCACTGAAGTTACTGAAGTGCCTTCTGAATCAAGGATTTAATTAAGGCCACAATACCTTTTTAAATACTCAGTGTTGTGTTTTTTTAAAAACTTGATATTCCTGTATGGTGCATATATATGATACAGTTACCCAATCATGTTGAATAAATGGGCATGCAAAAAATTCTTAATTGATTCATTGATAATTTCAGTTATCCCTTTGACAGTTTACAAAATGTTCTCTGCTTAGTTAAATTTTGGTATATTTTGTTTATATTTTCATTTTATTTCTTTATGTCTTAAATAGTTAAACTTTTTGTAAAGTTAAAATACCAGGTTAGTTTGTTCCTATTAGAGGGCTTAAATTTTCCTTTTAACTCTTTAATGAATCACAGAATTCAGAGTATCTATGCATACACATAATCCAGTTTCATGTTATTCCAAATAGAGTGTCGTCTGACTACTTGACAAGGCCAAATAAAACCTATCTTGAATACATTTTATAAACTATTACAGCTTACATACCCTATTCAAGTCACCTATTGAGAAATAGATTAGCTTGATCTTATAACTCTTATATTTGATCCTAACTGAAAAATTATTTGTATTGTTTAAGCTTTTAGACTGTCACCTGGCATTTATCATTATATTCATTAAATAGTGACTAGGAATTAGGCTCGTTTTTAGAAACTCTTAATGGGTTGCATATTTTTGTCAAGATTGGCTATTTGAGCTATCCAGAATGCATGAATATATAGTTTGGTGTCTTGATTTTGTTTGTGTCTCTAAATGCCTGAAGGCGCTCAGTATTTAGGTGGTGGGCTTAGCTACTGGGGAAGTGATTTTCTTGTTTTTAGTTTATTGGATTCTTCTAAATGCATTGCACTCTGCTATGGTTAACTTAAAAATGTGCTTATTTGGTGTAGTAGTGCTGATAAAATAGGCATTTCATAGCAAAAATTTAATACAACATCAGATTTCTGAAGGGACCTTGAATAACATTTAGTGTAGCCACTCTATCTGGTGCTTGACTGCAAAATCCTAAATTTGTAAAAGAAGGGAGAAAATAAAGTCAGTAATGGTAATTTCCCCCAACAGGATGTTTTCTTTGAGTGTTCATTCTTCTGTTCTTGGTTGAATTATTTGAGATGCTTGGGCCAGGTGCAGTGCCTCACGCCTGTAATCCTAGCACTCTGGAAGGCCGAGGCGGGAGGATTGCTCGAGCTCAGGAGTTCGAGACCAGCCTGAGCAAGAGCAAGACCCCGTCTCTACTATAAATAGAAAGAAATTAGCCAAACAACTAAAAATAGAAAAAAATTAGCTGGGCATGGTGGCGCATGCCTGTAGTCCCAGCTACTCAGGAGGCTGAGGCAAGAGGATCGCTTGAGCCCAGGAGTTTGAGGTTGCTGTGAGCTAGGATGACGCCACGGCACTCTAGCCCGGGCAACACAGCCAGACTCTGTCTCAAAAAAAAAAAAAAAAAAAAAAATTATTTAAGATACTCCTTTCACATCTGATTAAGTACTATTGAATGAATGAATGTACAAGTAGGGTCCAGAAACTTGAGGAAAAGTTTAAATGACATATTAAAGTTTATGATGACTGATATTATCTAGTGTTTTGGCCATTTCTATTTATTTTTACATAAAACAAAAAGTTAAAATAAGCATCAAGTCTAAGCAAATCCAATAACACAGCAATACAGAATCTAGATTAGGTTCAATTTCTGGGTTGTAGAGGTACAATTTCTGTAGAAAGCAAGTGCCTTATGAACATTAATAAGAAATATGAGGGAGTTTCTTACAAACATTAAGCTTTTCAGTTGTGGACAATTAAGTATATAGAGTAGGGCCAAAGGAAATTTGTGGGAAAATTCAGGTTCAGATGTTGCTTGATTTATTATTAATAATAACATCCTTTTATGTAACTTGTTTGCTAAAGCTCTTTCATCTCCTTTAATGATCATTCTATGATAGATACTTTGTTAAAATGGATATTTTATTAGATATTAAAAAAGATCTTAAAGATAAATTTCAAGACCCTTTCTGATAGAGTCAGTGTAATTTTTTTTTTAATTTCAAAATATTAAGGGGTACAAATATTTTTGTTACATGGATAGCTTTTGTAACGCTTGAGTCAGGGCTATATAATTGTGCCCATCAGCTGAATAGTGTTCATCGTACCTGTTAGACAGGTTTTTGCCCCTCCCCACATCCTTCCTCCCAGTCTAATTTTTTTAACTGGGGAAATTTTGTGAGTGGTTGGTTCTTCAAAGCATAGTTAAAGGGCAAAAACATTAGTTTTCAGGGTTCAAGGATAATGCTGGCCAATGGGACTTCCTGTCATGATGGAAATGTTCTATGTCTGTGCTGTCCAGTACAATAGCCAGTGGCCACAAGTGGCCCTTGAGTACTTGGAATGTGGCTGTTGTAACTGAAGAATTTAACTTAAGTTTATTATTATTATTGTTATTATTTTGAGACAGGGTTTTGCTCTGTTGCCAGGCCTGGAGTGCAGTGGTGTCATCTGTAGCTCACTGGAACCCCATACTCCTGGGCTCAAGCCTCTATTTTTTGTATAGATGGGGGTCTCCATTTTTTGTATTCTGTCTTGCTATGTTGCTCAGGCCGGTCTCGAACCCTTGGCCTCAAGTGATTCTCCTACCTTGGCTTCCCAAAGTGCTAGGATTATAGGCATGAGCCATGGCCTGGCCTGATTTAAAATAGCTATGTTATTCGACAGTGCAGCTCTAGAATCTATACTTTGAGGATGTGAGAATAGCCTCAGAAATGGCTCATTTTGCTGACATGAACATGTATCAAGGGATTACAAATATACCTTGTTCTAAATAGACATTAAATTTTAGATTTTTAAGATGAAATGGTTGTGGTTTTGCTTTATAAAGAAGTTTAAAATAAAATTCTTAATACATGAATAGATAAATTAGCTCCTCTTAGCTAATTCAGAATTGTTTGCATTACAAAATTTCCATTTACCTTCAACTCTTTCAGGCACATTGACTAAAATGAAATACTTTGACTATCCTAAGACCACATTAGTGTTTCAGACAGAAATTGACGAAATTATAGACCGTTTTAGGCACCAAAGCTTGTGGATTTATGTGGTTGTAGAAAACAACGGATTTATGTGAGTGAAAAGTTTAATTGGATTGAACAAAGTGTGTGGTGTGGAGAAGTGGTGGGAATGGAGGTTCTAGAGTTAAGAAAATCTTTCGCATGGATTCAGGAGAAACAGATCAACTGGAACTAATTGGGCTTAGGATGGAACTTAATTATAAAAGGAAGTTTCTCTTTTTTTGTTATCACTTCCCAACTTACTTTTTAGTTTTCTTCTAGCCTTAAGGCCTGGGTATTTGTAGGAACTGGAAATAAGAGTAAACCCATGGTCTGGAAATACTCTGTGTCCACTGCAGGCCACTGGCTTCCTTATGGAGCTCTCGATGGAAACGAAGATGTTTCTCCAAAGCAGCTTTTTGCCTAAGGAGACAACCCCAACCCCAATTCCAATAATGATTAAGTACCCTAGAAACTGTCTTATAAATCAATAGAACTGAACTTTGTATTTATTATTATTTTTTTTTTTGAGACAGAATCTTACTCTTGTTGCCCAGGCTAGAGTGCCGTGGCATCAGCCTAGCTCACAGCAACCTCAAACTCCTGGGCTCAAGCAATCCTCCTGCCTCAGCCTCCCGAGTAGCTGGGACTACAGGCATGTGCCACCATGCCTGGCTAATTTTTTATATATATATATTTTTAGTTGTCCAGCTAATATCTTTCTATTTTTTTTTTTAGTAGAGATGGGGTCTCGCTCTTGCTCAGGCTGGTCTCGAACTCTCGAGCTCAAACAATCCGCCCACCTCGGCCTCCCAGAGTGCCAGGATTACAGGCATGAGCCACCAAGCCCAGCCTGAACTTTGTATTTGAATATTACAAATTGATCTTAGATTTTAGTGAAAGATCATACTCTTGTTCATTTAGTAACTTTATGTATGAGGTTTAGAATATATGATCCCCCTATTGGAAATGTAAAAGAAAAGGCATAATTCACAGTTCTTAAATTCATGTTGCTGGAAGGGACTCCCTTAAGAGTTGAGGAAACAGGCCAGATAAGTTAAAGTACCTGGGCTAATCATGCCACATAAGTGAAAATGGAATAAAGCCAGTGGCATCAAGTTCTAACCTTTGATGGAGTGTGGCTCTACCCCTCACCAATTTAATTGGTTTTCTGCTTTCAGCTACTTGGACTAGCCTTACAAAATTGCACAACTTCCCCTCAGATGACTATCAGTTTTCTTTTCATGGCAAGTTGGAACTCCAAAAGCTTGATTTGGTCTCAATACTTGGGAACCTAACCCTGCTGCTATGATTCATGAAATTTCCTCACCTAAAAGCTGAGTGAAGACCAGGGGAAGAGTAAGTGAAGGTTAGTAGACAACCGTGTAATAGAGTTGTTCTGGCCACCTTCTCTTTGTGGTCCGCTAAAGAGTATTTATCATCTTAGATTTAGCATAAGTTATGGAAAATAAATTTCAAGGGGGGAAAGTATTTATAGTTAAGGTTGGAATCACAGGGTTTTCCAGGTTGTGCCTTTTTTTTTTTTGGAGACAGAGTCTCATTCTTCGCCTAGGCTAGAGTGCAGTGGTGTCATCATAGTTCACTGCAACCTCAACCTGCTGGGCTCAAGTGATCCTCTCTCCTCAGACTCCTGGATAGCTGGGACTACAGGTGTGTACCACCACACACAGCTAGTTTTTAAAACTTGTTGTAGAGACGGGATCTTGATATGTTACTCAGGCTGATGTCAAATTCCTGGCCTCAAACGATCCTTCTGTGTCAGCTTCCCAAAGTCCTGGGATTACAGGTGTGAGCCACCATGGCTGGCCCTGACTCTTTAATTCTTCCACCTGCCAATTTCATTTCTTTCTTTGGACCTTTGTATTTACAGTTTACTTCCTGGAATACTTTTCTCCCGGATGTTTATGTAGCTAACTCCTTGTCATTCAAGTCTTACTGTATATGACACCTCTTCTGAGAGGTCTTGCCCTGGCCAACCAATCTAAAATAAGCCTCCTGCAATCCTATCACATCTTTAAAATTTTTCTGCATAGCATTTATTGCTAGCTTAAAAAAAAAATCTTTATTTTTCTTTAGAGTTTCCCCACTCTCACCCCTGGAATGCAAATGCCATGAGAGAAGAGACTTTCTCTGTCTTGCTTACTCCTCAACTCCCAGTGTCTAAACTGGTTGGCACATAATAAGCACTCAATAAATATTAAGGCAGGCATTGGGTTTGGAATCAGGGGGTTTTAGATCTGGTTCTGGCACTGCCCCTAACTCACTGTTTGGCCCTGATCAAGGTCCTTTCCCTCTTTAGGGCTTGCTTTTCTCATCTGTAAACCAGAGGACTGAGATAGATGTTCTCTAAACTCGTGTCTAGCTCCAATACAAATTCTATAAGCCATGAAGGAATACTGTGACGTTTGCAACAAAAGAATCTCCTTTGCATTTCAGTCTTCCAAACCATGCTTATGAGGGTGGGGGGATCTTTGCTTGTCCAAAGGCAGTGCAAGGCTAGCACTGGCACTAGGCAGTCAAGCCCCTGAACAATCCCCCTATGGGATTGTTCTGTTGCCCAAATGTTCAGTACCTGGCTCGTTCCTGGACTTGTTTCATGGCTTCCTCCAGGGCCAGCCTTGCTGCTTCCTCTTCCTTTAGCCTCCTCTCCTCTGCCTCCAGCCTAGCCTTCTCTTCTGCTTCCTGTTTCTGCCGTAGGTACTCTAGTCGTTCCTCTTCAGCCATTTCCATCAGGTGTTTTTGTTCTTCTGCTAACTGTATTTCCAATTCTTTCTGCCTTTGTTTCTCTGCCTCTGCAAAATAGAAAGGGGGGTGGGCTCAGCAGGGGTCATTCTTGAGGAGAACAATTTTCTGATCCAGTTCTCAAGTCTGTCATTCCCAGGGACTCTCTGTGAGAAATTCTGCAGTTTTTCTGCCAACAGGCTGCCAGATCCTCTGTGGGGATTATCTTGGGGATTTACTAATTTAAGACTTCTTATGAGACACCTACTATGTGCAGTGCATTATGTAATTAAAACCTTGGGGAAGAATTTTCCAGAGCCTGGTGTGTTCATGGGGTGGTATGAAGCTGGGTTGGGGAGGGGTGTCAGATCAAGGTATAGAGAAACTTGGTGCTTACTCAGCTGGACTGGCCAGTCCAAAGAGTCAGAGCCAGGAATTGGCCATAGTGTCATCTGCCCCTTCATCAAAAGTGAGGCTGGATCCAGCAATCCCCACTACTGGGTAAATATCCAAAGGAAGGGGAATCAGCATGTTGAAGAGAGATTTGCACACCCGTGTGTTTTGTGGCACTATTCACAATAGCCAAGATGTGGAATCAACCTGTGTTGATCAATAGATGAATGGATAACGAAATGTGATATATATATACACAATGGAATGCTACTTAGCCAATTCTATTTCGCCAAGAACGAAATTCTGTCTTTCACAGCAACATGAATGAGCCTGGAGGACATTATGTTATGTGAAATAAGCCAGGCATAGAAAGCTAAATAACACATATTCTCACTCATATGTGAAAGCTAAAAAAGGTGATCTCATAGAAGTAGAGAGTAGACTAATGGTTACTGGAGATTGGGAAGAGTAGGAAGGTGGGGGAGATAGGGAAGGGTTGGTTACAAAAGTACAGCGAGACAGGAAGAATAAGTTCTAGTGTTCTATAGCACTGTAGAACAACTATGATTAACAATTTACATTTTTAAATAGCTAGAAGAGTGGATTTTCTTTTCTTTTCTTTTTTTTTTGAGACAGAGTCTCACTGTGTTGCCCGGGCTAGAGTGCCGTGGTGTCATCCTAGCTCACAGCAACCTCAAACTCCTGGGCTCAAGCGATCCTTCTGCCTCAGCCTCCTGAGTAGCTGGGACTACAGGCATGTGCCACCATGCCTGGTTAATTTTTTCTATGTATTTTTAGTTGTCCAATTAATTTCTTTCTATTTTTAGTAGAGACGGGGTCTCGCTCTTGCTCAGGCTGGTTTCGAACTCCTGAGCTCAAACAATCCGCCCGCCTCGGCCTCCCAGAGAGCTAGGATTACAGGCGTGAGCCACTGCGCCCCGGCCAGAAGAGTGGATTTTCAATGTTCCCAACACAAAGAAATGATAAATGTTTGAGGTAAGGGATATGCTAATTACCCTGATTTTATCATTACACATTGTATACAGGTGTCAAAATATCACACTATAAATATTTACAATTATGTGTTAAGTAAAAATACTTTTTAAAAAGTGAGGCTGGGCCCACTGCAGTGGCTCACACCTGTAATCCTAGCACTCTGGGAGGCTGAGGTGGGAGGATAACTTTAGCTCAGGAGTTTGAGACCAGCCTGGGCAGCATAGTGAGACCCTGTCTCTACAAATAATAGAAAAATTAGCTGGGTGTCATGGCACATGCCTGTAGTCCCAGCTACTCAGGAGGCTGAGGCAGGAGGATCGCTTGAGCCCAGGAGTTAGTTTGTGGTTGCTGTGAGCTATGATGATGCCACTGCACGTTAAACTGGACAACAGAGTGAGTGAGACCCTGTCTCAAAAAAAAAAAAAAAAAAAGTGAGGCTTGAGAGATTCTACGTATCAACACCTGAAAGTTTTCCCTGAAACTATCCAGATGTTTGTAACTGTTTCTATCTGCTAGGGAAGGACAACAAGGAGTAGGGCTGCATCTCCAGTTTAGGTAGGTCCTGAGCAATGCTAAAAGAGCAAAGAAAGGGGCAGGATCCCAGCTTAGGAGATTGTTGAGTTGAGAGCAGGACTGTGGAGTTATCTCCACAAAGAAGTCTTTACTTTCTTATTCTAACCTATGTCAACTCACTATAGTCACACATAATCACTTTGGAAGAAAAATAGCTTATACATTTAGAGTGCTTTGCAGACTAAGGCCTAGGATAAGAATAAACGAACACTAACAGTAGGATAAAAATATTTCTTCCCCAAATAGATGGGAGGTGCAAAAAGCTCAACAATCCCCCTCACCAGCCCTCTCAGCTTCTTCTTGCTGCTTCTTCCTCTGTAGTTCTTGCAGTTTCCTACGAAACTCCTCTTGCTGCTGCCGGGCTCTCTCCTGGGCTGCTTGCAACTGGAACTGCTGCTTTCTCTCCTCCTCCTCCTGCCACTGCCGTTCTTCTTCCAGTCTCTGTTTCCTCAAGCTGAGAAAACACAAGATGGTCAGGGAAATGGCAGCCAACAGACAGTGCCCCTGGGGGAGGCTTTGCAGCCTACAGGCCACAGGGAGCAAGCACCCCATTTTGAGGAGTCTTGGTTATCCAAGGGAACCCAGGATTGAAGAGCAGAGGCCAGAGCCTAGTGGGCCTGCAACTAGAAGCCTAGAAGTTTCAGGACACAGCTCTGTGCTCTGAGGTAGGGGCCTTAAGTTCTCAAGAGCTTCATTTTCAATTCCTATAAAATGGATTTTTTTTTTTTTTTTTTTTTGAGACAGAGTCTCACTGTGTTGCCCGGGCTCGAGTGCCGTGGCCTCATCCTAGCTCACAGCAACCTCAAACTCCCGGGCTCAAGCAATCCTTCTGCCTCAGCCTCCCGAGTAGCTGGGACTACAGGCATGCGCCACCATGCCCGGCTAATTTTTTCTATATGTTTTTAGTTGTCCAATTAATTTCTTTCTAATTTTAGTAGAGACAAGGTCTCGATCTTGCTCAGGCTGCTTTCGAACTCCTGAGCTCAAACAATCCGCCGGCCTCGGCCTCCCAGAGAGCTAGGATTACAGACGTGAGCCACCGCGCCTGGCCTAAAATGGATTTTGAAACTCCTGCCTCACAGGGTTGTTGTGAAGACTACAGTAGAGTCAAGGCCTGTGGAAAGGCCTACCACAGTGCAGACAAGGCAGGGGCTTGACAAATGTTTGCTGGACTGAATCTCAAAGCTTTTCCAAGAAGATCCCATGAACATTACTCCCTATCTTGAGTAACATTTAGGGTCCAAGACACTACATCTTATCTCTGGTCCAGGCTGTTCCTAGGACAACTGAGGACAGAGAAAAATGAGACATGCCATTTTACTTCAGGGCATAAGCCTCAGAACCAAACTTTGCCCCTACAGGAGGTCAACCCCTGCCTTTTTCTTCTGCTTCCTAACATGTCTGGAGTCTTTCTGGCTTGGCCGACCCACCGGATCTCCTCTGCACGTCTCTGCTGCTCCAGCTCCAGCTCCTCCTCCATCTTCTTTGCTCTCTCCAGCTGCTCCTGCTGAAGCCGCTTCTGCTCTTCCTGCTCCCTTCTTTTCCTCTCCACTTCCAACCTCCTCATCTTGGCCCTCTCTGCTCGAAGCCTGTCCCGGGAAGCCTTCTGCTCCCTCTTAGAGAAGAGGGCCTAAGAAATCAGAGTGTTTTTAGTGCAAGGAACAGATGGGTCTGTCTGGGCAGTGAGTCCTTCTCTACCCCAGACATTGTCTCTAATCAAAGATGGAATCATAAAGCCAACTCCAGACTCTCACCACAGCTGCACAGATTCTGCCATGTCACCAGCTGGGGCTTTGGTGTCTGACTGACTTGGATTCAACTCTCTTACTTGCTTTGGGATTTGGGGATCATGACTTAATTTTCCTGATATTGCCCTACTCATGATGCTGTTGCCAGGATTAACTGAAATAATGGCAGTGCCAACACAGTGTCCAGTACATGGAAGGTTCTAGAATTCTCAACACTAGCTGCACTTTAGACTCACCTGAGGAGCTTTCAAGAACTACTTGAGGCCAGGACTCCACCCAGAACAATTAAATGAAAATTTCTATGTGGGAGGCCTCAGTGGTTTAAAAAAGTTTCTTGTGTGGTTATAACATGAAGCCAGGGCTAGGAACTAGAGGTTCTAGATAAGAGGCTGTTTTATCAGGGGCAATCTTAGGTATAGACAGGTTAGACTCACATTTAATCCTGTAGAAACCACCTTTCCAATGGAGGGTTGTTCTTTCCAGTTTATATGAAGGCTATCTTAGCTTTCTTTATCTCTCTAATGTCTCCTCCCTAGTCAGAAATATGCCCATGAGGGGAACCTTGGGAGACAACTCTTCCAGGGAACTCTGTGTATCCAACTCCGAGTCAAACCTCCTTGGCTCTTTAGCCTTTGCAGAGGTAGCACAGTACTATGGATTGACAATAAATCTAAGAAATGCTGATGATCTAGCGGCTCAGAAAAGTTCTGCCTGCAAGTTAAAATTTTCATCTGTTGTGCAGAGCAGAATTCCATAATCTAGGCAGTTGAGGGGGACTGAGAACTATAAAGGAAAGATCTTCCTTGAATCCTTTTTGGAAGACTGTGGGCTATAAAATAAATAAACACACAATAATTTAAAATAATGACAAGAGTCCTGAATTCGCAGTCAAAGGGCCTGATTTTAAGTCTTGGCTCTACCACTCGATGGTTGTGCAATTTCTGGCAACTGGCATTTAACTCCTTCTAGCTTCAGTTTCTAGGTCTGTAAAATGGGGCTAATCATAGCTGGCTCACAAGTGTGGTTGTAAAGATTAAATGAGATTCAGCAGAGTGTACCATACGCATTATGCAGGTTAAACCATAGTGGCTTAGCTGTGTGTGCATTTGTAGTATTTAAAGCTAATTTTTTTTTTTTTTGCACAAGACCTCTAAATGCAGTTCAGTACCTTCACCTCAGGGGAAGAAATACTGATCTATTCCAGCAGAGGAAGAACTGGCTGTGTTGGTTACTGAGAGATGATGTATCTATATAGTATTCTTTTTGGTTAATTGCAGGGATTTTCAAGGGTAATTTTCTTTATACTCAGTTTTTCTCTTCAAACTTCCACAGTAGAATCACAGCCCCTGGAACAAAGTGACTTTAACATGAAAAAGCACCTTGTAAAAGCAGATGTGTGTGTACAAATTGCCTCCATCCCAGCTGTGTACCACAGAAATGCAGATTAGGAGAAAAGGAATTTCCACAGCCTCTGAGAGGCAAGCAATAGATGCTTTCCAGCCTAAGTCAAGGATGTGTGCTTGGCTCTGACGGCCAGTATCCACCTTTCCCTGTAACAAGGAGGCCTGTACCTCTCACAGATGGATGCTGTGTCCACTTCCTGTTCCCTATGGGGTGGGTACATGAACTGGCAGAGTGGCTGCCTCACAGAATGCATCACTTCAGAGGGCTTTGACATTCTGCATCTTTGATCAGGTCTATCTGGCTTCTTTCTAGGGTCAGAAGGTTCCAAAGTGGAACAAGACCATTATGTAGTAGAGCTGTTTCAGTAACTGCAACATAATTAGGGCAGTTTTTCCCACCTCTGCATTTGCACCAAGTGAGGACAGAACTTCCTCTGGCCAAGAGAGAACATCAGATCTTACCTTGGAAGGGTCGTCACAGCTTCTCTCTTCTTCAGATTCCATGTTGCCAGTGACAGTTACAGTCTGGGAGGGTGATGATCTTTCATCTATAGCGACTTGGCTCTCCTGAGCATCATATTTGGAAGAAAGACAAGGGTCCTCTACAATAGAGTCTGAAGGGGAGAATCCTCTAACTGAGGTGTCTAATGTTTCCATAGAGTTAATGACATCAGGCCCACTCAGCTCTGCTGCTGTCTCCAGATTCCTTTTCCTTTTGGCTCCTGTTTTTTTTCCTAATTTTTTTTTAGCCTTTGAGTCCTTTGACTTTCCTGGGGGAGAACAATTGGGGACAGAGGTATAGCTGAGTTAAGTAAATGTGTTCTCTATACATCCTTTTCAGTAACTTTTAAACATTAGCATGCAGTGGAATCACCTGGGTGTAGATTCCTGAGCCCCACCCCTAAAATCTGGTTCAGTAGGAATCTTTATTGTAACAAATACCCCAAGTGTTTTGAGAAGAGTAGTCCACAGACCACCTTTGAGAAGCTGCCTTATCCTGTTTGGATCAACTGACATTCAGCAGTCTTGCTATTAAATAAGTTCTATTTCACTTTGACCTAGGGTCGGGGCAAGAGTCTCCAGAGGGGAGAGTTGCAGACACAGCTGGAAAGTCATGCCCTGAGAGTCTGGTTTAGGGTTGTGGCTTTGTAACTCGGCAAAGTTTAGTCATTTCATTCTCTAAGGACTCTCTCTCAAGTCACCTTTGGGGGCCACAAGTATTTCCTTCTCCCAATCCTGCCAATACTACCCAAGTCATGGCCTACAAAAATGTAAACTCAGCAAGAGTTCAGAAAGCAAACCTTGAAAATAGATCTGGCCCAGGAATGTATCTAACGTCCTTTCTGACAGCACTTGATTTATTTGGAGGGTCTTCTGAATCATGTGCGCAGTGAAGGATGGCTGAGAATTTTAGGCTAAAGAAAGTCTTTAGAAGCATAGGAATCTGAGTTCCTTGTAAGGATCAACACAGGGAACTAAGAAGGGAATTGGTAGCTGGGAGTTTCATTCAGAGCTTGTGGCATCCTTCTCCTTCCCAAACGCTCTCACTACCCAGTACTCTGATCACGATAGAGTTATTAGTTCGTAGAGGCAGTGGTAATAGCGTGCACTGGGAGTCAAACAGGAAAGGACAATCCCTGGGTCCACCACTTTACCATCTGATCTGTTTGATCTTATGCACTAAGTCACCCAGCCTCTCTCAGCTTCGACTGCTACATGAACATAACAATACTTCATGGCGATGTTGTGAGGATTTCATGAGATCATATATGCAGAGCTCCTAATACAGTAGGTATTCAGCAAATAGGTGCTGTTATTATTATTATCATTTCCTCTCTTGGTGATCACAGATCTCTAGGCTTCCCAGTCCTTTATCCCTGATCTACTAAGATGTTGGCATGAAGTAAGGCTGCAACACCATCTTAGCTGTGGTAGTCAAGGAGACTCAAAACAGAGAGTTTGGAGTTTGTCTTAAAGGATCCATGCTGACTTTCCGTACCCCCTCCCCACCCCCATGAGGAGTCTTCTGGGTTGTTCCTTGCAGGTACACTCTCTTACCGAAAGCAGCCTCTGCTTCCCTGAAGACCTGTCTTTCTCGCTCCCTTTTGGGTGCTTTGATCTTGTCTGTCTTTGTTCTTTTCTTTCCCTTGGCTTTGTCAATCAACTCCCTTTCCTAAAGGTGAGAAGTAAGGAAAGGGACCAGGATACATGTAGGACATGGAAAAAAACCACAGAGGAAGGTTATGTTGAACAAGGTGACAGACTGGCTTGGAATGGAATTTGTGTGGGTTCCAAATGAAGCAGAAGAGTGCATCTTAGAGAATGTGGAGCAGGTGGGGAGACTGGAAGCTTTAGCCTTTGATTTAAAACTGCTGGGAATGGTGGCTCACGCTTGTAATCCTAGCTCTCTGGGAGGCCGAGGCGGGCGGATTGTTTGAGCTCAGGAGTTCGAAACCAGCCTGAGTAAGAGCGAGACCTCGTTTCTACTAAAATTAGAAAGAAATTAATTGGACAACTAAAAATATATAGAAAAAAATTAGCCGGGCATGGTGGCGCATGCCTGTAGTCCCAGCTACTCGGGAGGCTGAGGCAGAAGGATCACTTGAGCCCAGGAGTTTGAGGTTGCTGTGAGCTAGGCTGACGCCACGGCACTCACTCTAGCCCGGGCAAAAGAGTGAGACTCTGTCTCAAAAAAAAAAAACAAACAAAACAACAAAAAAAAACCAAACTGCTGGGAATAATTTCATAGGAGAAAAGAGGAAGTAAACACACTTTATGGTCTGCCTCCTTTCTTAGATGCTAAATCATGGTCTGCAGAACTGGATCAAAGTGAAGCAGTTTTCACCTTTGATAGATTGGTATTGCCATGATTAATGGTTAACTATTTAAAAATCAAAGCCAGCTTTATTCACTGCTGCATTATTTGCTAACTTTCAGGAAACCTCAGGCAGGTGACCACAACCATGTCAATCTTCCCGTTTCCCTACAGGGTGAGACAACATGGAAATTCCTCCTAGGAGGGGATGGCAGAGTGGGGCATGGCTACCCGCTCGGTACCTTTGTAGGAATTAGAAATGGGCAACCCATCCCTCAGGAAGATGCAGTCCAATGCTGCGGTGCAGGGCTTGGGGAGCAGACCACAGGCTAGACTCCAGCCCCCTCTTATGCCCTTTGTCAGGTGCCCTTGCACAGTGAGCAGTCTACACAACTGTATGTCTGTATGTGGTATCCTAGATGAGATCCCAGTGGGGCTCTCGGACCAAGTTCTTAGACGTTTACACTCACATGACTGATGTTGGCTGATGTCTGCTGGCTGAACAGTCTTGGTTCAGCCTTCCCTCCTCTTTCTCTCTGAAGAAGAGATGTATCCACAGCACCTAACCTCTCTGGTGACTCGGGCCCAAGTCCTGGAAGTCTTCTGTGCAGGTGATGTACATCATAATCTCTGCCCCTTTGAAAAGAGCAAGCCAAAAGACCAAACTAAAGAAAAAACTCTGGTGGAAAGGAAGAGGACAAGGGAACAAACCCTGACTGAGCACCTGCTCTCTGCAGGCACCGTGCTGGGTGTTTGACATACTTAGTCCATCCTCTTCCTCAACACATCCCTGGATACGGGAGATTAGAAAAATTGCGCTTCAGTTTTGGGGTTTCACAGGGTAAATCCTAAAACTTAGAGAGTGAGAGAAATAGTTTGCCTCTGGGGTTGTGTATTTATGCCTTTAATTGAATGGCACAGAATTATTTAACTGAGATTTCTTCCATTACAGGCTTAGCTGGAAAAAGAAAGTGACCCTAAGAGCATGCATCTATCCATCCATTCCTTTATGTCTTCTGAATTCCACTCTTGATCAAGTTCAGCTGCCAAAAGGTCATGCACTGTGTTTTACCCACTGTAGAATTGCTGTCACTCACTGTGTGCTCTGAGGATAACTGACTTAGGCCCTCTGGGTAAAAAGGCCACCAAAAATCAGCCACATGGATTTCAGTAACAGCAGCAGCAGCAGCAGCAACTACTGTGTGCCTGCTGTGTACCAGGCCTGGTTCTGTGTGTTTAATTTTTTTAGCTAAATGAGTATTCTATTTACTGTGCTGTGCCAGCATAGGGCCTTACTGTAGAAACTTGAGAAATATTTGTTGAATGAGGTAAATGGAATTTCCTGTAAATATATGAGTCTTTAAATTATTCAATGTCACTTTATAAAAACCCACAAGGGAACTCTCCTTTAGAATTTAGTGCTAAGAAAACCTTTATTTTCCCCGAGGAACAGGTATGCTGCAAATGCAAATCACAAACACAATCACTTTGCTCTTTTTTTGTTGCTTGTTTGTTTGTTTCAGGAATCTCTTTGTCAGGTTTGAAATTTAGCCACAGTGACTATAATGACTTTCGTGGAGTGTCTGTGGGGTTTTTTGTCCTCCTGATTAAAAAAATTTTCTTTTTGATTATTTTATCTTTTTTGGTGGGAGGTGGTGGTTGTAAGCAATTTAAATATATTGTGGGAAAAGATTAGGTATAAAAATTTAAAAATAGAATTCCTCTGATAGCTGCTTTACTCATCCAAGTGCCCTTCTCCCTTTATTCCTGGGGAACACAAAATCTTTTTGACACAGGAGGGAATCCTTACATCACTGGCAGGTGAGGGTAGATTCTTAAGTCACCAAGGCTCATGGGAGTTCACAATAGACCAGATAGAGGCAGAGAAGTCACACCACCTGCTACTGCCAAAAGGGACTTAGGTCAAATCACTGGGCCGATCTGGTCAGTGAGCTCAGTACAGAGGAAGCACTCAATACAGGTTAGCAGTTATCATTTATATTAGTATTAGCATTATTAGTATTATTTATTTTATACAGAGCTGAGTGAATGCTGAGATGAGAAACCAAGGTTGAAATGACAGACCTCAGCTTTCTAGCCATCTCTGTAGATCTCAAATAAGGACAAATGGAAAAAGCTGTTTCCACATTGTTAGAGTTAACTTCATTCTTTTTTTTTTTTCTTTTTCTTTTATTTCAGCATATTATTGGGGTACAGATGTTTAGGTTACGTATGTTGCCCTTGGTCCCCCCCCAAGTCCGTGTTTCAAATATGTCCATCCTTCGGGTGGTGCGCATTGCACTCCTTGTGTATACAAATACCCGTCCCCTCCTCCTTCCTCCCCCCTGCCCCCGCTCCTCTCCCCCCTGCCCAACATCCAACAGATGTTATTCTTATATGTGCATTTATGTGTTGATTAGTTAATACCAATTTGATGGTGAGTACAAATGGATCCCGTTCTTCTGCTCTTGTGGTGCCCCACTTTGGATAATGGGCTTAAGTTTAATCCAGGAAAGTATAAGAGGTGCTAGATCACTGTCGTTTCTTATGATTGAGTAATATTCCATTGTAAACATATACCAAATTTTGATAATCCACTCATGGATTGACGGGCACTTGGGTTGTTTCCACATTCTTGCAATAGTGAATTGTGCTGCCATAAACATTCGGGTGCAGATGTCTTTATCGTAGAATGTTTTGTGCTCTTTTGGGTAGATGCCTAATAGTGCAATTGCTGGAAACGAATGGTATTTCTATTTTTAGCTCTCTGAGGTATCTCCATGGGCAAGGGAAATGAACAGAAACTTTTCAAAAGAGGACAGAATAATGGCCAGCAAACATATAAAAAAATGCTCAACATCTCTAATCATTAGAGAAATGCAAATCAAAACCACAATGAGGTATCACCTAACCCCGGTGAGATTGGCCTCTATCAAAAAAAACACAAAACAACAAATGTTGGCGAGGATGTGGAGAGACAGGAACACTTTTACACTGCTGGTGGGACTGCAAATTAGTGCAGCCTCTGTGGAGTTAACTTCATTCTTTACCTACCCAGCCAAAGAACATGGTTTAAGTAGGAAACACATCACAACATAATCCTTCCCAAGAATCTTTGTTTCTTAGACAACCGTTTAAGTTTGGCTGTCAGTGCATGCTGTCAGCTGAGGATGCCCCTCAAAAACAAAACAAAACACCAGATTAATTAATTAAAAATAAAGGAAAACAAAATAAAAGCAGAGAAGTCCATGCCATTACAACTTTGAACACTTACACCTTTTGCACGGTATCTGCCTCAGCGGTCTGGATGTGCTCAGCCGGGGGAGCACGGCGGGAGTCAAGACTCGTACTTCTTGGCTCTGGGTCTGCGAAAACAAGGTATCCTCGGTCAGTAAGAACCACAGGTAATTATCCCAGGAGGAGATCAGACATGGAAAAATGTCTACCTGATGAGTAGTCAAAGGCATGTGGATTAGAACAATGGGGTTTGTTATACCTAGAAAATCAGCAAAGGCTGTAAAAACCAGTAGCACATGGCAAGTAACATTAAAATGATTATTAAAATATCCTTTGCGAAAATAATATGACGATATGTATCAACAATCAGAAAAATGTTCTAGGCTTTGATCAGGAATCTTACGCCTGGGTATTTATCATAAGGAAAAAATTCAAAAGAAGAACTACGCTTTTTGTACCAACTTATTTATTACAACATTATTATTAATAATGAAGAATTAGAAACAGCTCAACAAGGGAGACTGGGGAAGTAATTTATGATGCATTCATTTGACATTTAAAATTATGGTTAAAAAGATAAATAAGCAATATGGAAAATATTTATGATATCATGACAAGTAAAAATATAAACTATAGAGTGTATTAGAACTCTGTAAAATATGATAGATCAGAACTGGAAGAGAAAACAGAAAAAGGAAGTATGTTAGATTGGGAGGTTTCTGTCTGTTTACAATTTTTCCTAAAATCCCAGTGTGCTTATAGCATTGAAAAGCAAATTGATTTAAAAACAAAAACAGGCCGGGCGTGAGCCACGCCTGTAATCCTAGCACTCTGGGAGGCCGAGGTGGGAGGATTGCTCGAGGTCAGGAGTTCGAGACCAGCCTAAACAGGAGCGAGATCCCGTCTCTACTAAAAATAGAAAGAAATTAGCTGGACAACTAAAAATATATAGAAAACATTAGCTGGGCATGGTGGTGCATGCCTGTAGTCCCAGCTACTCAGGAGGCTGAGGCAGAAGGATTGCTTGTGCCCAGGAGTTTGAGGTTGCTGTGAGCTAGGCTGATGCCATGGCACTCACTCTAGCCCGGGCAACAGAGCGAGACTCTGTCTTAGAAAACAAAACAAAACAAAAAAAAACAAATGATAGGGTGGTGGCTCATGCCTGTAATCCTAGCACTCTGGGAGGCTGAGGCTGGAGAATCACTTGAGGTCAGGAGTTCAAGAGCAGCCTGAGCAAGAGTGAGACCTCGTCTCTACTAAAAATTAGCCAGGCATGATGGTGTGTGCCTGTAGTCCCAGCTACTCAGGAGACTGAGGTAGGAGGATTGCTTGAACCCAGGAGTTTGAGGTTGCTGTGAGCTAGGCTGATGCCATGGCACTCTACCCAGGGTGATAGACTGAGACTCTGTCTTAAAAAAATTAAAATAAAATAAAAAACCAAATGTTATCCTATGAAGAAGGCTTACACAGGCCACACAGCTAGCATTCTTTGGTGGGTGCTCTGAAGACCATACTGGGTCACACTTTTAGAATGAGAAGACTCTCTAGACTAAGACTTCATATTGGTCTAGTTTACCTCTTATTTTAGTTACTTTAAACAACTTTTTGATTATGGAAGATATATTTCATTGCAGAAAATTTAGAAAACACAAAAAAAAAGCATAAAGAAGAAAATCCCCCCACAATTAACATGTAACTATTAGAATGACTAAAAAGACTGACTGTACTGAGAGTTGAGAAGGACACAGAGGAACTAAAACTTTCATCAACTGCTGGTTGGAATGAAAATGGTACAGCTGCTGAGGAAAACAGTTTGGCAGTTGCTTAAAAAGCTAAATATATACCTACCATATTATCTGACTATTCTACTTCTAGGTATTTTACCCAAAAGAAATGAAAGCGTACGTTCATACAAAGACCTGTACAGAATGTTCATAGCAGCTTTATTTGTAATACTCGAAAATGAGACAGCCCAAATGTCCATCAACAGGTGAGTAAACAAACTGGTGTATATAATATATACAGTGGAATATTACTCAGCAGTAAAAAGGAACGAACAATTGATATACTTGACAACATGGATGAATCTAAAAATAATTATGTTGAGTGAAAGAAATCAGCCAAAAAAGTACATACGGTGTGATTCCATTTATACAAAATTCTAGGAAATGCAAACTAATCTATAATGACAGAAAGCAGATCAGTGGTTGTCTGGGGATGAAGGAGGCTAGAGTTGGGGAAGAATGTGGAAAATTTTGGGGGTGATGAATGTTTTATCTTGTGGTAATGGTTTCAAGGGTATACACATATATCAAAACTTATCGTACAAATTTAAAACGTGCAATTTATTATATGTCAATTATCCTTTGATAAAGTTGCTTAAAAAAACTTAGCAAGAAATATATAAATACAAGTAAAGTTCATAAAACAGTGCCAGCACATGGCAAAAACAAACAACAAAAACCAAAAAAACCTCACCACACTACCCTCTGCCCACTCTACCCACATACAACTACGGCAAACATTTTGGTGTATTTACTTTCATGCATATATTGTCATGCGCTCATATTTTCCTAGTGTAAATTAAATAGTATATGTTCAATTTTAATCTGCTTCTATATTAGAATTTTCCCATGTAATTAAATATTCTTAAAAATGACTGTAATAACTGCACAGCATTTCATCATA